TGTCTGTCCGGTTACCTAGCTAACTATCTACCTATATGCTATTGATAATGTTTACTATTTTTTGAATGATGAATGAAATGATGTATAAAGGAGGGAGAATAGAAGGGTAGAATGTTAGACGGGCCTGCGCGCCCAATTTACAACCCTCTGAAAATAAAGTTGGATGGTTGGTTCGTTTCATCCTTCATGTATCTGTATGTCTGTCTGTCTATCTGTCTGTCTGTCTGTCTGTCTGTCTCTCTGTCTGTCTGTCTGTCTGTCTGTCTGTCTGTCTGTCTGTCTGTCTGTCTGTCTGTCTGTCTGTCTGTCTGTCTGTCTGTCTGTCTGTCTGTCTGTCTGTCTGTCTGTTTGTCTGTCTGCCTGCCTGTCTGTCTGTCTGTCTGTATATCTGTCTGTCTGCTCGCCTGTCTGCCAATATTTGCATGTACGTGGGTGTGTATGCGCCGCGTGTGTGTGTATTGTATATATTGTATATATTGTGTCATTAAGTCAGAGTATATCTCAGTAAACTGGTTAGATATCTAAAGTTTTTCAGCTATGCATGTTGTATATACAACAGTCTGCAGTAGTAATTGTTGTAATCTATAACGCTGATTGCGACGATGATTGTTTGTCGTGTATACAAAATATATATTTATATATTTAAATAATGCGGACACAAACAATCTATTGCACATTTTATTGCCAGTCATATTTCGCTGTATCTCATCAGGTGCGTTACTACAGAGTTACATCAGTATCAAATAAAGCGCAAAACTGAATAAATCCAAATGAAATGAGAATAGTTTCTATCCACACATCAGGTGTGTTTTTTGGCCGCCGGAAGCTCACCGTAGTCACGTGACTTACCAGGGTAACTTCAAATTTACAATAAATTCCGTCAGCTTACAAAGGAGGGAGTTGTTGATTTTAATTGTTAAAACTTCGGCCAATCTCGACACACTTTAAAAAAAAAAATTTATTACGGGAAAACATTATTTCGAATATATTTATACTTGTTTATGTTCAATTTCACCAGAACCGTACAAATAGCAACCACCACCCGGTGACACGCAGTTCCACCATTCTGATAAGGCTCACAAGAGCACAAGTCTCAGAGACTCAGTTCAACCCATAGGTTGGGTTATATTAGGGTCCCTGGCATTTGCCAGTGGGGCTTTAAAATAAGGACAAACTGCGTCCTGTACCGGTTCGATATGTTGCACTAAAGGAATTCATTATATATTTATGGTAATGATTGTTGTATATAAAACAGCTATTTATAAAAGTGATTACTATATGTGTATAAAAATTACTTAAGTAATTGTAAATGGAAGGATATACACCTTCTGGACTTACAACCAGCCACACTTACTACTACACACACATCATAACAATAATAATAATAATAATAATAATAATATAATAATAATAATAATAATAATAATAATAATAATAATAGTAAACAAATATAGTTAACGACATTAGTGGGGTCAGAAGGTTGCCACAACTGATATTTTGAGCGAAGCTGTCTTGAATCCCAGTTTGAATGAAAATATCAATTTGACTGAGGACCAGTTCGAATTACGACCTGTTATTCGGAAGAAAGTTCTGTTAAAAGTCGAGCAGAGCCTGTATACATGTAGATATGTTATGGGAACAGAGAGAGAGAGAGAGAGAGAGAGAGAGAGAGAGAGAGAGAGAGAGAGAGAGAGAGAGAGAATGACAAATAGACAGACAAACAGACAGACAAACAGACAGACAAACAAACAGACAGACAGACAGACAGACAGACAGACAGACAGACAGACAGACAGACAGACAGACAGACAGACAGACAGACAGACAGACAGACAGACAGACAGACAGACAGACAGACAGACAGACAGACAGACAGACAGACAGACAGACAGACAGACAGACAGACAGACAGACAGACAGACAGACAGACCGACCGACCGACCGACAGACAGACAGACAGACAGACAGACAGACAGACAGACAAACAGACGAACAGGCAGACAGACAGACAGAAACAGAGAGAGACACAGAGAGAGAGAAAAGGAGACAGAGAGACTTGTTCTTAGCTGTTCAGGACTAAAATATTAAACTCATTGAGTAACAACAAGTTCACTTCATGTTTGTTCGTTTCAACTGATATTGCATACTTCTCTTAACTCCTGTCACCCATTCAATTACACCAGTCACATGAATTGCTACTTTAACCATTTGTGTTTTATTTTATTTTTAACGCCTCAGACACAGTTATGAATTAGTTCAGGTAATAATTTATTAGAACGAAATCAGCCAAAATACCGCTGATTTGGTAGTGAAGTAATAGAATTAAACTGTATGGCAAGCACTAGCAACTGAATCAAAGTTTGGAAAGCATGTATCTTTCACATAGAAACATTCGGATGTGGGTCGTGGATTATCTCGCGGTCATTAGGGAAAACATCTTTGATTTTGGGCTGAAGTGCTTTAGAAAGATTCTCAGAATACATTGGACCAAGAGGATTGGGGGGAAAGGGGGGGGGGGGGGGGGGGATACTGTCACACTAAAATACCTCAACATTAAGGAAGTTCAGTGCATAAACTTCTTATACTTTTTGTTCCTTGTTCACCTGTTGTAAGCTCCAGAGGAAAGTTCTGGTTGTTCGTCCTTTTGGACTTTGGCTTTGTGCCAGGGCCTCAGTTTTGGGTGTACATCCGTTTTACTGGCTTTTTTGTGTTTATCGAGTTGCTCCTTGCCGCTGGAATACTGATGACATGATAAGGCAGACGTGGTTAGTGCCTTGTGGGAGAGAGTGTACAATTCGGAGGAGCAGATGGATCACCACAGTCTGGTGAGATTGATGCAGTTGGGGATGACGAGAGTTTCTGGCAGAAGCTCGAGGCTCAGAGGAAAGGCAAGACGGACGTTTAATCAGAAAGCTACTGACACCATTAGTATCGGAACTCTTCGCTGGCTGTTGAAGATGGGGACGGAGCGCTTATGGGAATGCCCCGAGTGCTGTGATGTCGGTTCTTGAATCAAATCAAATCGAATCAAATCTCCTTACCGCTGGGGGCAGATGCACTACGACTTTGAAATAAGTCCCCTATTAGCTGACACCTGCGTCATGCTTGTTGCAGAGACAGTGGGTCAATTGTGTTTCCCCCCAATACAGGGCCCTGGAACAAACACAAGAGGTACATAAACAGTATTATATCTGGGATTAAGGTCACATTAAGCGCCACTGTGGTATGGAAAGAATAGTAGCAGACTGCGTGACTCCGAAATGAAGGGCAGGGAAAGACCAGCACGAAGGTGGGCACAGGATATGGGAGAGGAATCAGGCAGGCGAGGGTACGAGTCGGGAGAGCGGCCAAAATGGCGAAGTTTCTCCAGCGGGCTGCGATGACAGTGCACGTTATGTGAAAACAAGAATAGACCCACTGCCTCCCCAACAAGCATGTCGTAAGAGTCGACTAACTGGGAGCTTCCTTCAAAGTAAAGCGCATTTGCCTGAGCGGCAAAACGGATGCACACTCAAAACTCAGGTCATTGAACGAAGCCAAAGTTCAGAAATGAACAAACAACCAGGTTTTTCTACCCGGGGTTAACAGCCGGGGAACGCAAACAAACAAACAAACAAGAACAATTTGAAAAAAAGAAAAATGTCATGTCTAGTCCGGGAAACGAACCCAGTTCTACAGTAAGACACAGACGTTGACATTTCCGACCCTGCAGTGTGTGTGTGTGTGTGTGTGTTTGTGTGTGTGTGTGTGTGTGTGTGTGTGTGTGTGTGTGTGTGTGTGTGTTGTGTGTGTGTACTGAACAGTAAAGATACCTTTCTTATAAATTTGTGAAAAAAAGACACTAATTATGTAATTAATATGTTAGATTAACCGAGATTTTTTTTTTCAAACTTGTTGGTAATTTTGACTATCCACAATCTTCTGTCTTATGTACTTTAACTCTTTCAGTCCCAAACCACTCGCCATGCGTTTCTGGGTCATAGCAAAGATAATATAACTGACCAGCTGTCTTTTGTCACAGAAGAATGTTATAGCATTCCTTATTGTCTAGATTACTAGTTCAACTTCTTATGTTTCATAGTGTATATGCTTAACTCCTTAGGGCCAAACTATTTACTGCTTTTTAAGCTAAACACTTTGGGGTAGAAGGAGTTAAAGAAACAACTGCTTGGTCCTGGAAGAGTTAATCAACCTATACCGATGAACCTCCATTCCATGATGTCAAACTGTCCAGTATATTTTTTCTCAGTCTCCCTCTGTCTCTCCTCCCATCCCCTCCAACTTTCCTACTGTCGCGATGTACTCCAGTTTTCTCCTTCTCATCACATGACCAAAGAATGCAGATTGTTTCTTTCTGATGTGGGCAATCAGTTCTCTTTGTGAGTTTCTTTCAAGACGTCTTCATTACTCTTTTTATCTTTGCAGAGTATTCTCATCATTCGTCTATTAGACCACATCTCCACAGTTTAACATATAATGCATTAAATAATTTAGATATATTATAAAGATGCCTAATTCATAAATACGTTTAGTTAAAAAGATAATTATTTAACATAAATAAGCGTTTTATATTACAAAAGGGTTTAGATAATACATATACATTTCAAAGCTTTTGAAGTAATTGCATAATAAAGGCATATCTTTATAAAGCTAACTATCTAATAAGCATTAGGTTGTAAAAATAGTAATAAAGGCACATATGGTTGAAAAGGTTAAAAATATAAATGTTAAAGAAAGTTATAGTAAACCCATAGGGTTATAAAGGTTAAAAATAAACGTTAAAGAATGTTATAGTAAACCCATAGGGTTATAAAGGTTAAAAATAAATGTTAAAGAATGTTATAGTAAATCCATAGGGTGATAAAGGTTAAAAATAAATGTTAAAGAAAGTTATAGTAAACCAATAGGATTATAAAGGTTAAAAATAAAAGAGAAAGATAGTTATAGTAAACCCATGGGGTTAAAACAAACTTATAAAGAAGACATAAACGATTACTTACGAATATATCGAGTCTTTATCTCGCTTCATCTGTGAATCCTGTGATCCCATCATAACTCCAGGCATAGTGGTCGACGAGGTAGAATACGGATTGGGGTACGGTTGATGCAGAGCAGGGCTGGCGTGGTTCAAACCCGCGTGAGGCAGCGGGTGACCTGCAAGGCCCCTGTGCGGGTCTCCATACATCCCGGCGGCCGCTTCCATTTGGGCGTAGCCCGGAAGTTCGCTGTCATAATGCAAGGACGAAGACATAGTTGACGCTAGAGGCATCAACTACTGCAGCCGCCGAAAGAAATAACAACAACCTAGCCACACAAATGGCAATTTAGTATTCCAAAGATGTGTGCGTCGATCTAGATAATTGATTATCGCCGGTTATAGAAAAATGCAAATGACACACCGATTACAACGGCGCATTGTAGTTTTATTTTTAAATGGACGATATCGATTCTATATCGCTGAGTGCTAGGGGAAAAAACGAAAGCAGCGATGTAAAGTACGGAAAACCAAAAGCAACACTTGTGTGGTGAATTAAAAGTACACTATATAATTTATGTGATATATTTGTACACTTGTGAATGGTTAATCTAAACAGAACACGGGGAAAAACTGCGTACTGTAATTCCAATTTCGAGCTATATTTGAATACTTTAGTAATATTTGGATATATAAGGGATAGATCTAGCGTTTGTCATATCGTGTAGGCTGGGTTAAAAATGGATAGTTGGTAATTCCAATACGTACGTTTGTGAGAGTATGTATATATGTACTTATGCACACAAATACACACACATATCGATATGGCTCTCGTGTTGTGTGTTTTAAAGGTCTACTTGCAGTGGGAATTGAGGTAGAGTAGTGCCTAGCACGTCAATTAGGCACATGAGCCTAGAGGCACCCCCCACACCCGACACATAATTGGGAGCTGGTGAGGGGGGGGGGGGCCTTATTTAAGCCCCTAACCATGTATAGAAGTTCTCATTTTGATGTAGATGTTTATACATATCTTTTTGTTTCAGTTAAATTTATCTACCACTGTACAAATTATTATATTAACTATCATTATTATTATTATCATTATTATAATTATTATTATCACGCACTTAATGCAGTACATTTGAAACTTTTTAAATAGGCTACATTATCCTTCCCTACTCCCATTTTCCCCCCACATCACCAACTGTTTTCTTTGTGCCGGGACGTCCATACCTGAGAAGAACTGCGAGTAACGTTTGGCGGGTGGAGCCGTTATAAGTGCCCTAACGATAATGTCTTTGGAGGTTGAACGGGGGAAGGACAACAAAAGCGGAACTATGTGTCTATGCAAGAAACAAAACATATATCTCCTTGGATACCTGAAGTGATAAAAGAGAAAGCCAAGAAGATGTGAAAAAAAGCAATGTGTTATTTCTTTTGCGAACTCTTATTTACTTCTTTTTTTTTAAAAAACCGTATTTCTACTGCACAATTTGAAATCATACACATAGGTGGGCAGGGAGCTGCGTGGTCTCGAGTCCTGGTGTCCGCCTAGAGTGCTAGAGATTCCGGGTTCAATCCCCGATAAGGGCTAAGGTTTTTTCACGTGGATTTGGACTTCTAGTAATTCCTGGTCTCTGGGCAAAGTATATATATATATATATATATATATATATATATAGAGAGAGAGAGAGAGAGAGAGAGAGAGAGCAAAATGATTTAATTAATGTGGTGTTCTTTTCATGCCAGTTAAAAGCTACTGTAATTTACATTTACAATTACTTAGACAAAATACTTATATTTAAAATTCTTAACTTTACTCGATAAACGTCCGCAATAATACATTTTATGGATTTGAATTCTAATACAATGTAAATGTTTCAGAATTTGTCCTAAAAGATTTATTACAATTTAGTATGATTTCCACATATTGATATTTAACTTTGTACCCAGAATTAATAAAACAAAACCATTAAAGGCTTTCTGATCTTAAAGACTCCGAAAAATGAGCCCTAGAAACCTGGCTTCTCGGTTGAAGACAGTCAGTGTAACTACACTTACTTTAGTAAGTAGTATTGTCACCCAGATTATTAACTGGCATAGAAACTTGGCTTCTCGGTTGAAGACAGTCAGTGTAACTACACTTACTTTAGTAAGTAGCATTGTCACCCAGATTATTAACTGGCATAGAAACTTGGCTTCTCGGTTGAAGACAGTCAGTGTAACTACACTTATAGTAAGTAGTATTGTCACCCAGATTATTAACTGGCATAGAAACCAACACTCTCATATTTATTTATTCAGTGTCCTATTTTGCCATTAAATGCTACATAGTGCACGGGGGGGGGGGGGGGGGGTGGGGGGGGGGGGGGGGGGGGCTCTGTGTGGTCTTGAGGCATGGTGTCCGCCTCGAGTGCTAGAGGTTCTGGGTTCAATCCCATCTAAGAGCTAGGATTTTTCACGTGGATTTGGACTTCTAGTAATCTCCCCTAGTCTCTGGGAAGTGAGATCGGACACCCGTGTGCATTGTTGCGCACGTAAAAAATCCCTTGGCAGTTGGAAATGGAAAGGAGTAGTCCAACGGCGCTGCCCGGGCAAACTTTGGAGTTAAAAATCTACCCAAAGTAATTCAGGATCCTCGCCGATGCTACAGCGTCTGTGCACTGAGCTGAGCTTCTTTGAACTCAGGCTTGAGTTAGAAGAAGAACGGAGCACTTATGGGTTACTACCCGTGTGCCATGATGTTAATCCTTTGTTCAAAACCTCAAAACTCCGTTTTACAAATGTGACTTATTTGTATGCAAAATGTTGGTCCCTTGCCTCTCAGGCAGATGCACTCCGACTTCAAAGGAAGCTCCCAATAAAACAACTCTTACGACATGCTTTTGGGTAGTCAGTGGGTCATTTCTTGTTTTCCCTATAATAGGGCCCAGGAACCCACACGGGAAGGGTAGGATTAATATAGCTTTTAAGAATTCTCTTTTTCGTCTCAGCTGCATAAAAAATTATAGAACATTAAGAACACTTATTTTATTAGTTATTTGTCAGGATTTTCTTTTCTATATGTTTGTTGTTTGTTTTAGTATCCAGAAGCCATGAGTTGTTAACCCTTAGGCTCGGTATTATGGATATCGCAACCTTTCGGCCTTGATTATATTGTAAATACCGTAAAATCTGGGAGAAATGTGGCTTTCCTGCCTACCCCCGGGAATGAACCCGGACCACAAGGAGTTAGTCACCCGGTCTCCGCGCAATCCGGTTTAGCCAACTACGCTAGATAACCGGGCTCTTTTCTATAATAACAAAAAGCTGATTATTTCCAGTTACAGAGAAATTCAAAATTGTATTCATGGGCTTCTTTGTCTTTTGCCACTAATCCCCCAATGGAGCACAGGCCCTCAACAAACTCATGCTAAGTGGACCCCCTTACGCTCCCCTTTTTTCCCATTTGGAATTACTCTTTAGCTCCCATGTAAATGTTGTTATTAATATTTTCATTATAAATCCCATAGTTAAAACGTTCTACGGTTTTTTATCATTTTGTTTTCTCAAAGTGTGGCCTATCCATCGCCAGCGTCTTTTCTTCACCTTCATTTTGACTGGCATGCAATTTTTAGTTATCTTCAAAAGTTCAACATTAGTAATTGACCAGGGCTCATTTCTGGAGGTTCACAGTAGATGCTTCTTTTTATGCAATCCATTTTTTTTTTTAACTGATGAAGTCCCAGATATTTTTCCGTGACTACCGGGACCTTTAAAAAAAAAACACACACACACACACACACATGAGGTGACTACTGGTTACCATAGTTTCTAGCACTGAGTGACTCTACCGTTCTATTCAATTCTTTCTATTCTGCACAAGTATCAGTTAATGAATATTTGTAGCTTATTAGAAATGCTACTGTAATTTGCATTTAAAATACTTAAATAAAATACTTATATTTAAAATACCTAACTTTACTCGACAAATGTCCGCAACGATACATTTTATGGATTTGAATTCTAATACAAGTAAATATTTCAGAATTTGTCCTAAAAGATTGTGATAAACCACTTTTTGATATTTAACTGGGTACTCAGAAGAAACGAAACACCAGTTAATGAATGTTTGTAGTTTTATTATCTATTCTCAAAGTTTCCTTACAGAAGAAATTGTCTGCAAATTTTTTTTTTATTTTCTAGTTGCGTAACCTTTACAGGACGTTGTAGAACCAACCCCAACATTTTGTGGTGGTTGTTGTTTTTTCTAGACAAATCTTACGTTCAGTAGTTTGCCATTGCTTACTGGACGGTCAGCTCTCTGTACCACTGTTGAAACCAATCCACGACAAACAGTCCGCAGCTGTGACCGAGCAAGACACCCCGGCATTACGAAGCGCGTTCTCTATGCCTAAGGCACTGAAGTCGAAGGTTTGCAATTACAGTTAAATACTTTAGTTTTAGTATTGCTTTTGTTTTCCTCTGACTACTACAAATTTCTCACAACTAAGAAAATGAAGCCGAAATATTTTGGTCATATCAAGCGCCACGACGGATTGGAAAAAAATTATAGCAGAAGGCATGGTATCAGGAAGGAGGGGCAGGGGCCGACCGACACGAAGATGGGCACATGATATAAGTGACTCCTTGAGTGTGAAAGTACATGAGGCGGGAGAACTGGCGAGAGACCGAGTTTCTTTCAGGCAGACTGTGATGAGAGCGACGTTCTGCAAAGGACCTGCTACATGATGATGATGAAAACTGATATTGCCTTTGATATTAATTTCTTGTAATTAACAAACTGAATATCTGCAACAAATAACGCAGAGATTAAATCTAGGAAACGTCAGTTAGATCAATTTGGGTGCAACATAATTACTGGGACCATAAATGTATATAGTTGATCTACTGACCTAGCTACAGTTATCTAACTGGTACAGTTATGTCGTGCTTTCTCAAACTATCAATATTATCTATAATTACGTTCGCTTTTCTTTATAATACTGTAACTGTGACAGAGATTCAATGTGTAGAAGAATGAAGTTATAAAGACTACTTATAGTTATTTATCTTTTTATCTTATTGTACTTTTTATTGTGTAGTTAATTTAACGTACTCTAAAGTCATGACAAATGGGAAATAAAGAATGCATGTGCTAAAAATTGAGGGAATGTTCATTTGTTACATCGGGTTTACGTGAAAGCAAAGCGCATAACCCTTTGAATCACAAATGATGGAAAGCATACTAGAAACAGTATTTAATATTATAACTGAATAATAAATTCATAAATTTTATTTCTTGAAATTGTGTG